TAATATTTTTAATTTAATTAATAACTTAAAATAAGTTATTAATTGGCCAGTACTAGTATTAAATTTTTATAATCGTCATAATTAAAATAATAATTACTCTCTAATATGGTTTAGTGAATTTACTTGAAATTTTTTTTAGTATATTACAGATAAAGGAAGAGTTTTTCGAAGTTTCATCAATTTGGTACTATTTTTGGAATAGCTCAGATACATTCTTAAGCCTCGCTTAAAATTAAAGTAACGTTGGTGCAACCGGGCCTAAAGGCTTATAATCTAAGTGTTGAATTATTCAAACAAAAATATAAATGTATAGTTTATACGAAAATGCGCGAAGGATAATGTGAAAAAAATATTTCAACTTCAAGTCGTGTAATAGTAATACTAACATTATCGGCACAGTAAAGAGGACAGATAATTTTCCTTAAGCATAAGCTTATAGAATTTTCGCTGTTGAAAAATATAGGCAGCGTTTATGTATTACTATATTTTATAATATATATAATCATGAAACACAAAATAATCACATAAATTATAATTTTTGCAAAAAATTCGCTTCTCTGAAGCAAAAAAATTTTATACGAATTCAATATAATTCAAATCAAACATATAGCAGCTTTTAATAAACAAACAATGACAAACAATAAACAGAAATTATCTTGAGTATCAGCTGATAAAAATTCAAATGTTATATATATATATATGCATTAATATACGCGATAACATTATTTTGAGATATTTTCGAAAATCAAACTCGATAACACTCAAACTGGATCACAAATTTTATCATATTATAAGTCTTCTATATATAAAGTAAATATTTAATTTGATATTGTAATATAATAATATAATAAAAAGTATCACACATTTTTAAAAACCACTATTCTTTTCCATTAGATTCGACTTAATTTAAAATTAATTAAATTTTAAAAAATATGAAATTTTATTAAGATATTGGTAAGAAAATTGGTCCCACTTCACAAATTTTTGAACAATTTTCTAATTATAGAGATATTAGCATTTAATACAGGATATAATAAATATAAGCCTGTATTTTGTAAACGCACTAAATAATTTTATAAGATATTAATTTTATAAAGCTACAAATTTTCTTATGAATGTACATTTCGCGCATTATGAATCTATCATAAACAGTTATATAACATAGGATAAGCTAGGTTAATTAACTTAAAAAGAGAAGAGCCATAGGATGGAATACTCGAACAGTGAAATAAAGACGAAGCATTGCATTTGTCACGCCATAAATAGGTACTGCCGCATATCAGCTTTTAACGATAATCAGGCATTTTCCGTGCCTATTGTGAAGTTCAAATAGGGGGAAATCATTTAGTCGTCATGGCCACATACTCACACGCTATCGTATACGATGGCACAATTGTGTTTGTATGTATATGTGCACAATGCACATGTAACTGCGCGTTTGTTAATCGCAAAGCTGAACCATGTACCTTCCATAATCGAACTTTCTATATTTAGTATTTTTGACGTATATCATTAGATTGTTCACTTCATCTATCAATACATAATTTTAAAAAATTATGTATAACAAATTTAAAGTAATATGCATTTTATTAACGTTATAACTGAGAAGTTGTAATCTGAGAAGTTGTAATTTAAGAAGTTATAATTTAAGAAGTTATAATTTCGAGTTTTAATATTTTTCACTGAAAAATTTTTTAGCCGATATATTATTACATTGTATCACAAATATAAATATTACGTTCTTGACATATTACATTTTATTATTAATAACAAGTGTGAAATTAAATTAATAATTATATATTTTTTTATATATAATAATCTAATTACGATATCTGTCAAAAAGTTTAAATAATTCAAAGAACTGAATAAAATTATATCAATTAAAATACTTTAATTCTATCTGAATCTATCATTATCTGCTTATCTTTTGTGTAATTATTAATTATATCTATTATTTACTTTCAATCATGACTTATTATCTTGCAAATAATTAATTAATTTATAATTACAAT